CCGCTTTTCGCTGTATTACGGACAAGAAAATATAAATAATGAGGAAATAATATAAAATAGAATTAAAATCATTTAAATAAAAGAGTTATAAAATTCTATTCATTTACATTCTCTGTTATTAACATTCTCTGCTATTTATTAATATTCTCTGCTTTGGCTTGGTTACAGCGCCATCTAGTGTGAATACTGGAACGAAGGAAGAGCGAATCGGAAATTACTCGCATTATAATTAAGAGAGTTCTTCGATCATCTCGAACTTTTAACTGTGAATAAAAATAAATGCGTTCCAAGTAAAACTATCTCTTTTTTTTAAATAACTATCAATTTAGTAGTATTTAGTTTTTTAGTTCACTTCTTTAATTCCATTAATGCATTAACCTACCGTTCCAGCCTTTTAGTTAAAAGAGAATTATTTCTAACTTGTTATACAAATGTTATTATTTTCACATTCATATACATATGGTATTATTTCAACCGAATTATGAAAACAATGGGTTCTCGCAAAGGCGAGTTTTGATTAAGAATGGAAGTTTGAAAAGCTCACTGAGTACTTTGGAGACGGAGTCATAATGATTAAACTTCTATGGAGATGAAGTCATCCTAGTTAGTTACGGAAATCTTCTTCGAGATCATGATGAAGTTTTCAATACGAGTACTTAATATTGCAATTATTTTAACTTCTATTTATTGTACTAACATTTTATATTTATTGTGCTTCCTTCCAGTTTACTTTAAGTGTGCTTGGGTCAACTCATTGTACTCAAAATTAATTAATTTGCCATTAGCTTCCTTAAAGACATGGATTTGGATTTACGGATTGATACCTTTCCCTTCACAATAAAAAATTATATACTTCACTGACTTGTTTTTTAAAGAATTAGCATTAAGTTTGGAGAACTTCAACCTATTTAATTATGTCTACTCGAAATAAATGCCTTGCGTCGTGGAACTCGGCTATGATAACTAGCTCAGAGCTAGATCTCATTTTTTTTTTAAAGCTTTGTTGCATCTTTTGTCTCAGCTTTACTGCCAAAATCTTCAGACTCTGAGTCACTGCAGTGTTCCAGCTGTGATGTGAATTTTTTTGGGCGTCCAGATGTGCCCTACGCTCTAATATTCCGGTGTTTATGTAGCGTTTTATAATATTCCGCACACTTAAATAAGGCTCTGCTTTATATTACCAATTTCACGATAAGATTTTTGCTGCACGTGCAAATTCCTTACAATGTGGATATCTACCGAAATTTTATACGACCGGGCATTTTGTTCACTCGATAACTGTACAATTTTCGCATTGTCATAAAACCAGAGAATGTAAATGAATAGAGAAGGAGCAAATGTTAGCTGTTCCAAAATGTTAATTACGATGAGGGAACATCGAAAACGTGCAAGTACGAAAATAAAATGTCACCACACCTCTCAATTTACGCAACGAACTACACCACTCTATAAGCAAAATGTATATACATACATATGCACAGATGTTCTTTGGTAAGCGCATAAACAAAAATTTAAATAATAAAAAAGAAAGCAATTTAGTTCTGACAAGAAAATATAAATAATTAGAATATTTCAGGAAAATATGTTCATATGTTTGGGTTTATTGCATATTCCTTTATTTATGTGTATTTATACAAATGTGAAAATCACACCTACATTCATAAATACACGCACGCTGATGCTTGCTTCTTCTTGCCCGCACAAGCAATGACTTTTGTCTACACTTTTTGCTTTTTGCGAGAAGCAAGTTGAATGATCTACGTAAATGTTATAATATTGCGTAACTAAGCCCTAAGTTATCAGTATTTTTCTATACAAATTAAGCAATATAATAATATGATACAAATTCTCCGTTGAAACGCCTCTGACCATGATGGCACGCCATGGAAGTAACGGCGAGTTCGCGCGGAGACGGGGCGGAGCCCAAAATTGACTTCTGACAAAACGTTGAAAAAAAAACCAAATGAGAACTTTGCCGACAAACATACTTGCATACGAGCTCGCATACATATTGACGCCGAATTTTGCGCATCGTGGCGGAGTTGACAAAATTTGTTTGAATCGACAATTTTGCGACAATGTCGGTCGGCTATGTTGTCTCGTTTGTCCTTTTTGCAGTGGTTTGCTATTGAAAGTTGACTTATGCATTTCCATAACGTCGTTTTTAGGTAAAATGGGCTAAATCGACAAACTATGAAATATTGATAATAAGTAAACATATAAAAGTACTATAGGCAGTGTGCTTAGAATATATAGAAGTAGTTAAAGATTTCATATAAATTAGCCGTTGTTTTATTGTTATCCTTTGCCCATTAGATATTTTTCATGCAAATGTGTTGACGAATTTATCTATTAATTACTTATTTTGTTGTTAATTCTGCGGCTTTAACCAATAATCCTCTTATATAATTTGAAGGATTATTTTAAATTACAAAAACTATGATTTTTGGTAATATGCAAATGTAAATCAGCAAGCACATAATTCATTTAAGAACATTCGTTGTGTCTATTTATAGCCTTTTCCCCGTTTCGATCATTGCGTGGTGTATTTCAAATGAGTCGAAGTTGTATTTTTCGATGTTCCCTCTTGTGAAAAGCTCAATTTAGTACTTTTTAACATTTGCGCCTTCTCTATCTATTAACATTCTCTGACTATACTTTGAGTTAAAGATAATAATATTGACGCTTTTGCTCCTGTCAAAACAGTAATCGTGTTTGGTGGCGCTTGCTACTCCATCCAAACCTCTTGTTACTACGCTACCATATGGACTCCTTGGGTTGGCCCGATATTGGCTACAACTTCTTGATTAGTGGTGACGATCATGTGTGCGAGGGTCGTGGCTGAAATTCGATGGGTGCTCATGCCTCCAATTGGAACGATATCTTCATTGATATATCCTTTATGGGCAATTACAAGTAAGTTTTGTGTGAATTTAATTTCCAGAATTCTTAGTGCACAATGTGTCTTTGTTTGTATTTACAGACGATGGCCCAACTGTTGCCCAAATCGTCGTCGCCAACGGTATTCTCGCTGATGCCAGGGCTTGTGGTCAAATCAGCTCTGGGTACATTCTGTACGGTAAGCGTCAAGTAGGTGCTACCGAGTGCCCCGATAATAACTTGTTCGCTGAAATCCGTTCTTGGCCACTTCCGCGGTTAAGTTGCCTATGTTATATAATGAAATATTATTTTGATAAAATAAATGAATATAAATAATTAAATTTACTGGTTTTTAATGCTTTTGGGGAAAAAGAGAGATTCGAGATTATATCAATGACATTTGTTTACAATAATGCCTAACAATTTATTCAGGACTATTTGAATATATATTTTACATATATTTTCTATATTTATCATAGAATATACGTATGTTTTACTTTTCCTTGTTTTTATTTTATTCCTTTATTCTTTCACAAGCGGCAGACTGCACCATCGTATCGTTAACTACCATATTCGAATATGAATATTGTTCACTTAACATTTACGTTGTATACGTAATATTTATATGTATGTATGTATATTTCTATATATTATGTAATATAATATTTAAAATATATGTATGTATGTTTGTATGTGCATTATAATTATTATTTAGTTCAATGGTATTAATAAACAATTTAATAATAATATTTACTTGAAGGAAATCTTATATAATATTACGAAAAGAAAGGAGTGTAAAGTTTGGAATACGAAAACTAGTAGCTTTTGAATAAGACAAATACAAAAATTAATTGACAAAGTTAGTATAAATATGCACACTTGCATGCATGCTTGTGTGTATGTAGCTATGTATAGAAACTAACCGTAAACATTGATTATTTATTAATTGTGCGATAGATAAGGTGCAAATCATAAAATTAAATACATTTTTTTCTTTTCTTGTTTTTTGTTTCTGGTTTTGTTGGTTATATTTGCGCTACTTTTAGTATATGACTTCGACATTTATTTTTTTACATATTAAAAACGCCAATATTTGCGGCCATATGCCCGCGTTCTCTCGGCCTTTAGACATTTTATTGTAAATGTTCACATATTTTTTCTTCAAATATGCGTATATTTGCATGTATTGTATACGCTGTAGCCATCGTATGCATTTCAAGTGTCTACACTTGCACTATTTTTGTTTTTGGTTAAGTAGTTTCTGTATAAATTTTATTTTCATCCAGTAGGCATATAATTTTAAAATCACTGTTGTTCTTAAATTCACTTTCACTTGCAACACCCTTTTGCATTCATACATATTTGTTTATAATTTTATTAATTTTTGTTTTTGTTACTGTACTATAATGATATTGAGTGTACATTTAGAGCAAAAAGGTTGAAAATTTTAATAATTTGTGTATTTTTCAACAACTTTTTAACATATTTAGCTGATTTTTAAGGATCGCCTTAGGGTTTTTTTCTTAACCTTTCTCAATCTGCAGTTTTATAATATTTTTGCACAGATATTGTTAATTTTATTTTTTTTGTTATTTAGTTATATTAATAACCAACAAAGGTACAAACATATTTTATTAATTGTAGTAAACAAAAATATTTCAAATGTAAAATAGAAAAAAGCCTTTGCTTAAAAAAAAAACCGAACCTAAACAAAGTATTTACGATCTCTCCAATGCATTAGCATGCGCTTAGTTTTATCAAAATCACCTATAGAACCCATGTCAATTTTGAAAGTTTATCTCAGAATTACTATTCAAAACAAGTTACTCGTTAAATAGCCTACCCGTTCCTACAAAAAACCCGAAATTTTCATCAGCGGTTACGTTTGAGAAACCATAATCACGCTCTACTGCACCCAACGACACTTGGAAACTCCCCATATACGCACGACCTTACACCAACCGCCTACTACCTTAAGCTTGGCTCTCATTTCTATTGTCTGCTTGACGCTTGTCAGCTGGTACATCGAGTTTTTGTGCAGAAGGAGCCGTAATACTAGCAGCAGCATCTAAGTAGGATGGTGGTGGTGTCAATTCACCAGTTGCGGCAACACATGCAGCGGATGGAGCAGTCTCAGCATCAACATCGGCATTTTCCGAATCAGCTCTCTCAGCGCTAGCGTCAGTACGTCGCATTGGCGGTGTATTGGCATTTACATGAACTGTGTTGTTGTTGTTCGGCGAATCATTATTGTTGTCCAATGTATCGTCAATGGTGACCACTGCTGCACCGGCGGCATCCGGCACATTATTGGTATTATCCAGCTGAGCATCGACACTTTGATAATTGGACATAGCCACCTGATAAGATGGCGGTGGCGCTTGCTTCATATACTGTGCAATAGCTTCATCATAATTTGGCAAGAGTGTGGTATAAGCGCGTTCTTCGCCCAAACCGGCGCCACCCAATTCCGGTAATACACACGGTAGCAAGGTGCGTAGATTTTGTTGTCGCAGCGTAAGATATTTATAGCAACGCCAAACTATGCCAATGGCATAGGCTTTCAAGAATACAATGCAAAAAAAAACCACCAAAACAATAACCATTAGTTCCTCTTGTGACATCTCGAGCAACTTCTCGCGCCATGGCAGGCGATGAGATTCGGCAATCAGACGGTGTATGGCTTGCAGGTAACAGATGTAGCCGGCAGCGGTTAGACTGTGTAGAGAGTAAGAGTGATAGGTCAAACATGACAAAATCATGTCACAAACTTACGTTGTGATGGCAAAATCAAACAGCTGTAGGCAGAAAAATGGCAAAAGATGTGAGGGTTTACCCTTTAGTGTACCATAAATCATCATCATTGTAATGGCAATCATACACGTACAAACCAGGCCCCCCATATCAAAGTTATCTGCAAATTATTTTTCTCATATGAATATCAATGAATCATTTGGCATGCATTATAGCAGATAAAATATATTTTATTATCACTTACGGTACTGCTTGCGATAACTGAGCGAATGATCACGATATGGGTATGGAGGATCCACCTTGCTCAGCGGAGTGGGTAATGGCGGTGCGCTCAAATCCACAGTATAATCGTAGACCTCTAGCTCCTCCATCATGTGCGGATTGCGCCATATAACAGCTAGTAGGCTGAGTGCTAATACATTTAAAAACTATGAAGAAAAGAGCATGTAAAATATATACATAAATAAGAGTATGTTAAAATAGTTTAAGAAGCAATTACAAGTATAATTTTTTTTAAGTTCCTAAAAATCCGAGGATTGTTTTAATAACTCTACACTTTTCGGAGTATTCAAAGATTGTTTCTAAAGATTTGAAATACGTACAAATTAACGAAGTTGTACATTAAATTTGGTAAATTAGCCAACTCTCCAATTGTGACGGCTTTATGAATAAAGAGCTTCACTCCGAAAATCAAAATGGGTGTGTTCATAAAACTCGAACGTACTCTTATTTTGTTAGTAAACAAAAAATGAAATATGTATGTCGCTAATGAAGCAAAGTTAGTCAAAATATACTGAAACTATTTTATTCCAAAAAACTACATGTATGTTTAAATTTACTAATAATATCGGGAACCCGGTGATCTATACTTTAAAAATGTATTTCCGAAAGCCCTACATTCGGTTTCAAGTTTTTAATTCATTATAACGTTATATTTTTTATTAGAAATATTTAGAATGTGCTTATAAAACCTCAACACAAATTCAAAAAAAAACTCTCCTGTTTTATAAAGTCAGAAATACTTTGTGCTTCACGTTTAAATACAACCAGTATCATTGTAAGCGGTTACTAAAAAGCGTGCACACAAAAGAATAATGAATAACTTATTGTATTTAAGCAAATAATATATAATGCTTATTTGCAAAATAATAACTGCATAAAACCAAAAATCAACATCGCTTAGATTAACAATGCTGCGAAAAACCATAAATTATTTTTGGGTGTGATATTGTTGATATATTTATTTTTCGATTTTTACTTAATATTTCATTATATACGCATATTACATTTTGTTTGTCATTATTTATCCTTTATTCTTTTATATTTTTATACTCTTCCAACATGTTGCTATAGAGTATAATATTTTTGTTTATCTAACGGTTGTTTGTATCACCAAAAAATAATCGAGTTAGATATAGGATTATATATGTTTATATAAATGATCAGGATGACGAGACGAGTTGAAATCCGGGTGACTGTCTGTCCGTCCGTCTGTCCGACCATGCAAACTGTAACTTGAGTAAAAATTAAGATATCATAATGAACTGGTACACATGTTCCTTGGCCCCCTAAGAAGTTTGGTATTGGAAATGGGCGTAATCGGACCACTGCCAAGCCCACAAAACTTCATTAATAATTTCATTATAAAATGCCATAACTAAGCACTAAATTAAGATATAAACCTGTTACTACGTACAGAGAATTGCATTGGAATGCCCCTATGGTTGAAAAAAATGTTAAAAAGTGTGCATGCCCCGTCTCTAGACGGGAGTTTAATGTATATATCCCTTAAACCATTTGAGCTATATGACCCAAATTTGCACAGAATAAACTTCTACTCCCTATATATCGGTTTTGTTAGGAACTATTAAAAGTCCGATTAATCAATAACTAAATGCGTCAGAGACATTTTACATCCGATATGGTACAAGGGGGTTATGTAGGAGCCGATGTCAAATCCCCACAACAGCCTGTTTGGATCGGTAAGTTTTAGTATAAGTTTGTCGTCATTAGAGCAACACCCTGCATTTGCGCAAAAAGGCTCCATCCAAACTCCACCTCGGTTAAATGTAACACATGCAATAGATGGAGCCGTCGTAAGACCTGCTCAGGCCTTCAAATCCATAGGGAGGGGATCACAAGCTACGTGGCCCCATGCTGCCAACGCAATACTGCGACACCTGCCTCAACGGATGTGCAACCTGCACCATGTCCGCGCACCAAGAAAGGACCTCCACGGCCCTAAGGAGCTCACACAGGCAGCACGACTCCCAGTCTGACCAATGCCCTCCCTAACATTCATCCCGCTCCAATCCTTGTGCGAGAACCACTCGGCAACTTCTGGTTCCTCGCACGTTCTGTTCCGTGTGGCAGACCGTAATACACCGGAATGTCACATGAGTCCAGTGCAATTCGTGTGCTGGCTGGTGTCACTTTCTGTCGTGTTCCGACCTGCGCACCATACGTGTGTGGAGTGCGTCGTATGTTGCCCCGTGCTGTAGGAGTCTGCCCCCGCAATCTCGTATAGTGGCGTCGCCAAACAACACCACAGTGCGACAACCGCCCATGCGGATAGTACAGCTGCAACAACCACCACCTACACGTATCTCTCTCACCCCTAGGATCATCACCGGACACCCTACACAAACGTGACTTCTACAATTTAACTGCAACAAACTCCAGAGTCAGGACGAGCAGATACTTGCATTTATGAGCCGGGAACGCGTATCGATAGCTGCGAAACAGACGCTCAGATCTTCTGAGTTGTGCAGGTTTCAACGTTTTACGTAAGGATCACGAGCGAGCAACATTAGTTGGGGGCCTAGCCTTTATACTGCACGACACCGTGCAATATCGTCTAATCGATGTGGACATCGAATGCAGGGACATTACCCTTGAATGTCAGGGTATGGCTGTCCGGTCATGCGATGTCGATTTAATATATACATCCCCCCAGTTACATGTTGCCCAACAGGATATACCGTTTGGTGCTAGGCGACTTTAACGCGCACCACGATCTTTGGCACTCCTGCCTGTCAAACGATCGTAGGGGGATAGAGCTGGTGGAACATATTGACGATTCGACATGACGATGTCCGCACCAGATTTATGGGCGCCTGTAATAGCTCGCCAGATATTACCATCGCCAGCGGTGGTCTGATAAATAGCATAACTTGGCGACCTATGCTAACTCTCGCATCGAACCATCTGCCCAAAATTATCTCGATCGAGAAACCTCCCTACTTTATTTCTGTGGACAACCGCATCTTCGTTAACTTTAACAAAGCTAACTGGGTCGGCTTCACAGAATTTACCGAAAGCACCCTCACCGCATTACTCATACCTACGGACGTCATTGTTGCTGCTACTGCTCGCGTCATACCGGCTGGAAGAATCGCGGAATTTCGCCCTAATTTCCCAGCCGAAGCCGCTGTATTAGCAAACGAGCGCGACACCTTACGCCATGCCGATCCCTGTGATCCCCGAATAAGGGATCTCAATTTGGAGATTTGGCAAATGGTAAACCAGCATAAGCGGACAAAATGGATGGCGCATCTGAAGTCCTGCAACCTCTCCACCGATGTGAGTAAGGTTTGGGCTACTGTCAAGGCCTTGTCTAATCCGAGGAAACATGACGACCAGGTTAAAATTCAATGGCCATGCCCCCTCGGACCCGAAGAAGTGCGCGATCTATTTTAGCCGGCAATTTACACTGCACCCTTCAGTTGACAAGGCCAAACGATGTGTTACCTGACGGTTGCGCAAAATGCCAAAAGACCGCGCGGCACTTACTTTCACCAATGGGGAGGTTCAGAGTGCCATCAACAAGGCCAAGTCGTGCAAATCCATTGGCCCTGACGGAATAAGCATGCTGATGCTAAAACACTTAAGCTCGACGGGAGTAAGCTACCTCACCAGGTCGTCAACTTGTCGATGACTACTCTTCAAATACCCGATGTGTGGAAAGTCGGAAGAGTAGTCCCACTACTGAAACCTGGGAAACCCGCCAACAAAGGGGAGTCCGATAACTTTACTTTCCCCAGTAGTAAAAACACGTGAGGTCTTGCTACTCCCAACATTCACTCACCACCTGAGTCTAGCAGACCATCAGCATGGCTTCCGAAAAGTGCACAGCCCCACTACAGCACCTAGCGGCATAAACGCCCAGATAGTTCATGGCGTAAATTAAAAGCCACCCTGCGAGAGGACGATCCTCGTAGCGTTGGACTTATCAAAAGTTTTTGACGCAGTCAACCAACTTGACATAGAACAATCCACGCTCCCTCCAGGGCTGAAGCGGTGGACTATGAACTACCTGAGCGGTTGGCATTCATCCGTACTGTTTCGAGGTCAAAACTCCAAACTTAGAAGAATTAAACAGGGGGTTCCGCAGGGTGGTGTCTACTGTTTAATTTCTACATCTTGAAACTCCCACAACCACCAGAGGGAATTTCCATGACCTCGTACGTTGATGACTGCACGATATTGATGTCGAGCAATGCAATCGATGGCATGGCATGGTGCTCGAAAGTAAATGGCTATCTCTCCGATCTTTCTTCTCTGCAAAGAGCCTGACACTCTCCCACACTAAATACACAGCGACCATTTTTACAAACTGGACGAAGGAGTACAGACTGGATCTAGACATTTCAGTCGATGACATTAGAATTCCGACAGTCCACCACCGTTACATTAGACAGGCTGTGCTCTTTTCCTCCTCACACGACCGCGATAACTGCCAAAGGCTGGGAGCAGTCAGGCCTGTCCCATATGCAAAAAATATAGTTAAAAAATATTATTTTATTTCAGAGCAATAGTTTTTAAGTAATTAACTAGAGAGCATATGTAAGAATATTAATTTTACGTTTAATAAGATTTATTTAATAATTATAGTCATTCTTTTTAAAAGTACGATAATTTCATTTCATGTACGATAATTCTACGCTACTGGTACGATAGTCGCCTCACTTCAAGATGTGAACACTGAGTACGTATAATATTGGATATACTATAGTTTAATGCCAAAAATACGGGAATTTAGTCTACGAATTACCCCAAGTACCTAATACTACATACATTTATTTTCGTTATTCTAACAAACCTTATGCCGAACATGTCGTTTAATGTGTAAGTTATATATTTATAAAATTGCTTTAAAATATGATCTCAAGTATACCTTAGCAATGTCAAAATTAACTCTATCAGCCTATCCCTTACTCTGTCCTCCAAAATAGCCTGTACCATATAATAATTTCTGACTTTCCACCTGGCAAAATGTGTGATAATTTAATAAAATTAAATGAACAAGTTTTCTTAAAAATTGTGCAGGAATATGAATGGAATATGCCTAGACTTTGGTCCAAACCTTATACAAGTATATCTTAAATAATCAATTGCGATCAATGACGTGTTCACATCAACTTATTAT